TTTAGGTTTAATGTGTTTTTAGACCATGCACTTACTTTTGGTCAGCATCCTCTCAGTCCATGGGAACATGGAACTTCCTCCCCTGTGGACAGTGGCACTGACGTGCAATAGTTTCTCGCTGTTTACTGCAATCCGTCTATATGGCTCAGATGACAGATGAACGCTGTTGGGTGTTTTGACAGGGCTGTGATCCCAAACACACGTGATCCCAAACACACGTCGAAGGTGATTTTCAAATGGATAAACCAGGATAAGCTTCTGCAACGGTCCTGACTTCACTTGGAAAATATTTTTAAAAGCAAAGTCTGTCAAAGAAACCAACCAATTTGAATAAACTGCACCAGTTCTGCGCCAATAATTTGTCATTCATCCAGCCTTCAGCCAGCTTGTTTATGGTTACAGAAAGACTGTTAATAAAATATTTGTGTCTGAGTATAAATTTCAGCATCGTGCAAAATCATGAACATTTGTAGATGTGAGGAAAAGCCCTCATAAATTCAAAAATCTGGATATGATTCCTGTTTATAGATTTTAGAGAAGTTGTTGCTGTTTTTTCATCCTGAAAAAACGTCAGAACCCAAAACCATGAGATTAAGTGAATGTAAACTTGTGACCCTATGCGTCACAATTACCTTCCCTGTTGAGTCATCTAAAACATAAATGAAAGTAATACAACATTGTTGTTTGTTCGCAGGTCTTTGAGGAGTTGTTACTCGATGCAGACTGGAGTGTAAACGCCGGCAGCTGGATGTGGCTTTCTTGCAGTTCATTTTTCCAGCAGTTTTTCCACTGCTACTGTCCCGTGGGGTTTGGTCGACGCACTGACCCCAGTGGCGACTACATACGGTCAGTCACTGCTTTCACGTGAATATAAAAAATGTTGTCTTTCTTAAGATTAGGGTGTTTGTTTTGTGCTTCCCACAAAGATTAAACTGGGAAACAAAAATCTCATGGTTGACTTGTGCTTTTCTAAACCCTCACATGGGGAGAGGAATGTCAGATGGTTTCAGAAAATTGTAAAAATAGCAAGTGCATCTTGTATCTTCACTGTGGCTATGAAAAAGTGTTCCTTCATACAGTGAAAACAAAGCATGCTTTGTCCCTGTGTTTTATTTTGCATATCTTCCTTTTTTTTCAGTCGTTATTTGCCTGTCTTGAGGGGATTTCCTGCAAAATACATCTACGATCCTTGGAATGCCCCGCAGGATGTGCAAAAGGCAGCTAAGTGTATCATAGGAACCAACTACCCAAGACCCATGGTGAACCACGCCGAGGCCAGCCGCGTCAACATCGAGAGGATGAAGCAGATTTACCAGCAGCTCTCCTGCTACAAAGGACTGGGTAAAGACTAGAGCTGGATGATTGATAAGTCTTCAAGCACACACTAGATTAATATTAGATGTAATGAATGGTAGGTGCCTTCAGTTTTGTTAGTTTTAACAAAGTCGAAGGTATTTGTAAGAACAACTTACCTTTAAAAAAAAGAATGAGGCAGATCTTCAATTTATTCCTACAGGCGATGGTCATCACAGCCATCGACCGTAATGAGTTGTCCTTCTTTGACACAAGCAGTTAGTCTGTCTTAGACACAAAGTCACATCGTCATATAACCTAGTAGATATTGGGTTTTTCCTCTGACCCAAACTCTAGCGCAGTAAAACAGGTTCAAAAATGTTGAGTTCCTCCCATGCTTACAGTGACAACTTCATCTGTTCTACTTTTAAAGTATAGCTATGTTCTTCTTCTCAATGCATAAACATCCCTCACAGTACAATTTGCTTTCTTCTCCTATCTTATGAAAGTTGTAAGTTTTCATACAGATAAAACAAATATTTATTTGGAGGAAAATAAGTACGTTTATAAGTACAGCCCTTTTCAAACTATAACCACTATTTATTTTTTTGTCTCATTACTACTTACCCACTTAACTCACTTCATCAGGAAAGCAAAGTTACCACTACTTAGGATTTAATTATAACTACTGTGAGACCATTTAGACATTAATGTCATTTATATTTGATTTCAGTGTGTTTGGACTCTGTTGATGTTGATGGTGTTGGGCAGAAATCTGATTTCCCAGATAGCTGCCACAACCTTGTCGAAGGCACAGAGGGTCACTGTCAGGGGACATTATCTGTGTAAATGGTTTTTAAAACCCACAGTCTAAATGCAAAGTAACAATCTGTGTAAATAAAATGGTTGCAGGAAATTATGTTAAAAACTGTTAAGAAATGCAACTTTAGTTTTCCTCTATCAGTAGCGTTTCGAATGGTTGGTTTTTGGTCTCATATGAGTGTTTGCTGTGTCACCAGTGTGGCTTGTAGAAAACTTTTATTTAAAATTATGTGTCCTTTTGTCTTACACTTTAGTTGTGGTTGATGTTGTTACTCTCACTCATAAAACTACAGTGAAGTACATTTGATTTTCTGGTCGTACTGTGACAAATGTGAAATAGTTCAAGGGCCAGGAATACTTTTGCATGGCAAACTATCATTATTCTGAAGGGCAATTTGTTTTACATCTAATAGTGAAGCACGAAACGCATAAACGCACCTTGTTCACTTTACCAGTGTTTTTATACTTCATATGAGTAATTGCTGAAGTCTTATCCAGGTCTCTGTGCCTATCAGATGGCAGCTTGGTCAAATAATTTCATTCCATGTAGGAGTACCTCTAAATTTTAATTTAAAGCTACATAATGAATAAGCATGAAATACTGTTTTATGTTTCAGGGCTACTTGCAACTGTTCCAGCAAATCCTAACAATGGTGTAAATGGTAGCAACGTTGGAGGAGTCAACGCTTACTCTGCTGGAGAGCCCTTTGAAAGCCCCCTGTTGCAGGAGGGAACATCTCAAACAGGTATGGCAACCTTAAAAATCCAAATAAGTTGTGCATTATTCTCAGAAAACTAAGATTTCTGCAGAAAAATCATCATTTAAGGCTAAACTTGTTTCTCATGAGACTTGAGCGTGACACCCAGCGTCTGAAATGTGGCCTGCAGAGCTGCTCTAAGTTGTTTACAAGTGTTAGATGAATACAATGAGTTATTATGGAGCATCACTAATAAATACTCTGTGAAGAGAAAAGTGAAATATATCCTCAGCACTGTAACAGCATTTTGTGTCACTCATCAATGAAAGCTGATTGCTAATGTATGTGAAATCTTGTCAATGTCTCTCCTGTATTATATTTGATAGTTGGAAGGAGACAGTCCTCGCAGAAACGCCGTCATGAAGAGTCTGAACCTGAATGCAGCTTCAAATCCTGGAAGCACAGCAAATAGCTTGGGATATTAATGAGAGATATTAATAATCCCTCACATAGTTTCTGTTCCATGTTCTCCGGTAGCAACAATTAACTCCTGCCTAATGACAATGGAGATGAGACTGTTAATCTGCTGGTACCATTCAGTATTTCTTTTATTCAGGAAGTTGTGAACAAGTGAATTGTGAGTTGCTTCCATTTCTGATTTTGCCTGTTAGTCACAGGGTGGGAGTCGTTTTACCTCTCAGGTTCAGTCATAAAACTGTAATATATCTGACCAAACCATGCAAAAATGACATGAAGCAGCCTGTTGTCTTCCACTGCAGTGAGTAACTGCAAGCATGATGAACAAAAAGGTTCATCATTTCTTCACATCATTTAGCATTTTGATGGAAGAATAAAGCATCCTCTTAAATTCATATACGTAAATAAAATGCCTGTTGTTTCAGCACAACAATGAACAATTTTGAGCTTTCATTCCACAAAAGTTGAGAATTGTTTTCTGAGCTAAGAGTCTTACATACAGAAGAAGCCAGTCAATATTAATCATTTTGTAAATATTTGGATCTGACTTTCTGTTTTTGTATATTTCGCTGTGGTCTCAACAAAATGTTTCTGTGAACGAAGGTACTGAAATGTGAAGATTATAATTTAAATATATATATATATATTATTTTGTCACCTCAGTGATTGTAAATCTGTTTTGTATTAATAATGACAATTTTCTGAATGTTTTGACATGACAATAAAAGACCAAAAAATGATAAAGTTTTGCCTTTGGATTTTGTGGGATAAAGCTTCCATTTTCCTGTTCACCAAAGGAAACGCAGTAATCTGAGATTTAAAGGCGGTGGTTCTTGGTGGCATTTTAGAATTGAAATGACTCCATAAAAACAGCAAGTCAAGCCTTTTAGCAAAATAAATTGAAGCTGAAGCCATTTCATTTCTGCATTTCCTGCAGCGACTGGTCAGGTCATTGAAGAGTATGCAATTTACTTGAAGTATACCCAAAAAGTATATGCAAAAAAATAATTTTAAATAAATCATTTAACATTCATAACATATATATATATAAAAAATAAAAAATTTCCTTCTCACCCACCGCGGGTGGTTCTTATCCTCTGAGCTCGGGTCCTCTACCAGAGGCCTGGGAGCTTGAGGGTTCTGCGCAGTATCTTGGCTGTGCCAAGGACTGCACATTTCTGGACTGAGATGTTTGATGTTGTTCCTGGGATCTGTTGTAGCCACTGCTCCAGTTTGGGGGTTACTGCCCCGAGGGCCCGATGACCACAGGCACCACTGTGGTCTTCACCTTCCAGGCCCTCTCCAGTTCCTCCCTGAGGCCCTGGTATTTCTCCAGTTTCTCATGCTCCTTTTTCCTGATGTTGCAGTCGCTTGGTATTGCTACATCTACCACAACGGCTTTCCTCTGATGTTTATCCACTACGACAATGTCTGGTTGGTTCGCCATTACCATTTTGTCTGTCTGGATCTGGAAGTCCCACAGGATCTTAGCTCTGGCGTTCTCCACCACCTTTGGGGGTGTTTCCCACTTTGATACAGATCACAACTCTAATCCGTGTAAACGCTGCATTCAGATGCAACGCATTTGATCATTCTTGTGTAATCTTCGCCGGTGACGAAAACAAGAGAAAAACGAGGAAACGCTGCGCCGTGTCCAATGGCAGCAGCCGCTCGGTGGGCGGGGTCAGCTCAGCGCAAAGTCAATAAAACGTTCTCTCACGCGCGCTGCAGACCTCCAATCTGCGCTGCTTCCTGGTTGAGATCTTCCGCGCCGCCTGTTGCTGGAGATGGAGAAGGATCGGGGAAGAGTGCAGGAGAAACCTGTTCGCCTCATAGCGGCGATTTGCAACAACATGGGGATGGGGAAAGACGGGACGCTGCCCTGGAGTTTACCGTAAGAGTAGCAGCAAAACACGGCTGCATGCATGTTGTGTCATGTACTCACGGCTGCTCGATTTGTGGCTTTTTAATGCCGTAGGAATTTTTTTTTTAAAATTTAAAGAAAAACGTGGATCTCACTGTTTTTCTACGTAAAAAAAGGCTTGTATTATTTTAATAATCAGTGGGAGTTTTATCAAAGCGTTACTTAAAAATGCCTTTGTTTATTTGTTGAGGTTTAATTAATTTTACTAGAATTATCCTTTATATATATTTTTTATCAGTATTCCGAAATTAATGATGCAGTCTGCTCTAATTCTTGTACTGAATAATCACGAGTATGGCATTAGTTAAGCTCTGTGGTGGAGATGCTTTGGTATTAGTCACATAAGTTACAGATTGGTCATTGAACTTCAGCATAGCAGCAAAATGTAAAGAAATGTTAGAAAGTTATGGATAACTACAAGAGTTCTGTACAGTCTCTCACAGACAGCAGCTGAAGTAGATTGGCTGCAGAGCTCTCTAAGAATTATAAGTCTGTACGCTGATGATGACGTTGCACTTTAATTTGTGAGGCTAAAAGGCATCCCAGCATCACACAGAGTATGGCATGAGCAACTCTGTGCAGTCGTTAAGTCGGTGTCCTGTGTGTGAAGGAAGTGGAGCTGTTATTGTTTTTTTCTGCACGTGGAAAACACATCAGTGTGTGGAATCGGTGAGCATAAACTAAATGTTTCTGGACTAAATGTGGAAACTGTGATATCCACAGATCTGAATTCCAGTACTTTCTGAACACCATCACAAGAGTGTCGCGACCAGGTAGTGCTCAACGCTACTTACAAAAAAAAAAAAAAAAAAAAAAAAAAAAAGATTATTTTAAGGCTCCAACTTGAACACATTTTTAGATCATATTCTATCTTTCTGCAGGTAACATGAATTTGCTGATTTGGGGGCGGCTCTGCTGGAACTCCCACCCCGAAAGTATGTTTCCGCTGGCCAACTCTCTGCATGTGGTGCTCAGTAAAACATTGAGGTGGGCAGGCTACACAAATACCTACAAGTCGTATGTGGCAATATGAGCTTTAGCAAAAACTCCTGATTTTCATAAACAAATTACTCACTTTTTTTCTCTTCCTTATTTCTGTGAATTCATTTTTCCCACAGCTCTGTCCCAGATCATGCCCACTTCTTGTGTCAAGACTTTGAGAGTGCTGTCCGCCTGGCAGCTCAGCCTCCCCTGTCTGACATAATAGAGACCGTCTGGATTCTTGGTGGGAAGCAGGTCTATGTGGTGAATCAACCTGATCCATATTTTAACAATAGAACAGGTTTAAGATATAATGCATCTGTTATATTTTTGAACAAATTGTATCAGAATCAATACAAAAACTGCAACTAGTAATAGTTAGTGTAAGGTAAAGTGTAATACTTATATTTCAAACAAGGTTGGAAAATTGAAGATTAAAATAAAACAACATATAATAGAAATAACACACATTTTCTTCTGTTTTCAGTGCAGCAACTCAAAATGGCCTCAAACTTTCATCATTTTGATGTTAATATAATGAATTTTAGTTCTCCAATGAACAGAATTACGATTGACAATATGCTAAATACAGTGCAAATAAAATACTTAGAATAATATGTGGCACTGTCCCATGGCAGAACGATGCACATCTTGACGCTCTGAAGTATTTAGAGTTGCTTAGAACTGTCCTTGCACAGTTCTAAGCAAAAAGGAATTGATTGAAAAGGGTTTAATTACAACAATTAACTTGCATGAGGCTTTTCCTGTTGTTTTTAGAAGCTATTTGAGTTGCATTGCTGATGTTTTAGCCAGTAGTGAAAATTAGCTGATTTTTGTATTTTTTTTTTTAAACGTGCTTATCTAACGTTCTCTTTTTTGGCCTCCTATTGTTAGAAATTTCCTCTTGTTACAAATGGTTGAATTATTTAGCGGTCTCGCATAAATCCCGGCTTTGCCAAAATTCCTTTTCTAATCAAGTAGAACAAAGACAGAAACTGTGATTTAGAGAATGGACTTAGCGGAACACTAGCAGACAGGCAGAACAACAACAACAACAAGCATTATTCTTTATTTAGAATGAAATTGAAGCTTACTCCCTGAGCATAAACAGACCTCTCTCTCTTTTGTTTTCCATCTACCCATCCCCAAAGTTTGCGTGTTTTGCAACGGTTTTAAAATCAACAAGATGTGGACTTATTCTAAATATCAGTTTAAATAATTTGACCATTTTAGAGCTAATAATCCAAAGTCTGAGTGATAAATTACGAATTAATGCTTGTGATGTAACTGGATTTTCTGCGGTCTACTCTGCCCTGCCAGGATGCACTGAAGCACCCGTGGTGTGACCTTCTTTACCTGACTGATGTCATGGCCGACTTTGACTGTGATGTGTTCTTTCCTGAGTTTGACAGAGAATTATTTAAATTACAGGAAAAGTAAGTTTTCGTCTCATTCTGAGACTGATAAGCATATATACTATATATATATAAAGTTATACCTGACTCACTTGTTTTTCTTTTGTTTCCAACTAAGATTTCCAGATGTACCGAGTGAAATTCAAGAGGAGAATGGGATTCAGTTCAAATGCCAAGTTTTCAAGAAGACAGATGATACAATGTAGACGAAAAAACAATCAAAATAATTGCAAAAAAAATAAGCAGAAAAGGTTTTTAACAAACTTATCTTTACACTCCTTAGTGAATAATATCCTAACAAAACTGGAGATTTAGGACAGCAAATAATACACATTGAATTTCAATGAAAATAAGTTTCTTCACACACTACACTGTAAATTTGTGCAATTTAATACTGTATTTTAATATTGCATGAAGTGTATGCAATTAATTAATGAAATGAGTTACAACACTTAATTTACCTATGGAATTGATCAGTATTTCTGAATTGAATAAAACAATCTTTCCATAGATTTGTTGTCTTCTTCAATGTGTTTGAACAGACTGGTATAAAAAAGTTCCTCCTTTTGGCCAGAACAATCAACTTTTAATTCTTTGGATCCTTGTATTGTCCTTGCATAAAAATCCTCGTGGATCAGTTTTTCCCCTTAACTGATTGACACTTTGGGGAGTTACACACATAATTCAACTTGTGTTAAATGATTTAAACAGATGTGGGCAAATGTTGCAATTTGTAATTTATTTTGAATAGAACATGTTTTATTGGGTTTCATTATTATTATTATTATTATTATTATTATTTATTTCACCCTGTGTATTCCTCTTTGAGATCGTTTATTCAGACACAAGTAGGTGCTATGCTTCTAACTAAAAAAGTCAATATACAACATGTTGATGTTTCTTTGGGTTCTTTGTAGTTGGTCGTTTTAGCCACTAGATGGAGCCATCGGAGAGGACAGAAGATGCACATTTGCTTTGGATAGACGACCCGTGTGCGCTTTGAATGCAGACCCTGGACATTTTGCTCAAAGTCTATGTAGAGGCGCGTCGAGAGTACGCCATTTGTAATATAAAAACAAAATGAAAGCAAAGGTATCAAACAGTTGGCGGAAACTATGGACTTGAGTTGCTTTGGCAGAAACAAAATTTCTGCGTTGTCCCACAGAATAGACAGCAAACCAACTCTCGACTATGAACACTCTCTTCATGCATGGACCCCTCGTCAGTGTAGTCCAACACAGACTGTAAACATGGCAGACGTACGCACTACCGGTCAGGATTACAACCCGCATTTATCTTGCACTTTCAACATTAGCCAGCATGTTGTAAGCGCACTACAACATGCAGTTCATTACAGTGTGTTGAAATAAGTTGTGCTACGAATTTGTCATAAGTGACTCATCAATGACCCATAAGCCTTACATATGGGCGAGTGATGAGAAAATCGCTTATTTGGAATATTAAAGCAATTTTGTTCACGACAAGATTATCAGCTGTCAATAAGAGCCATTGAGCCCTTACAAAGGAGAAAAGCGTATTCATGGTGAAGAGAACCAGGGATGCTGTACTAAAAGTTAAATCTTTGACATCTACACATGCCGCAAAGATACATGCAGAAGAGAGGTGATCTACACTGTGAGTTATAAGTAACATTACTAGCCTAATTGTAAATAGTTGGAATCATGTATTCTTGCTTGCTTTCTGCAGGAGACATGCGCAGTATAGTGGCTGCTGACACTGATAATGACGTTGACTGATAATCCATAAGTAGAACATTAATAGCAAGTAGTGTGATGATAAATTCCAGCTAAAGCCAAAACAGGAATTAAGTGTTGCGACAATAAGTGAGACTTACTGAGAAATGGACTTGCCCTTGATTTGTTACATGTGAGAAGATTCACATTAATGTCTGTTGTAAAAATAAAACAAAAACAAAACAAAGACTGGCAACAAGAATTTGCTTTTGTAATGAAATGTATGTTGGTAATGGGCTTCTGAAAAACGGAAGCCTATCATATTCAGACATGACGTAGCCTCTTTCTTCTGCAGCTATACTGATGGGTTACCTGATGTCCTTTCTGAGTAAAACTCTTCCTACACCGACCACAGCTGTATGGCCTCTTTCTATTGTGGATGCGTTGATGGCATTTCAGATTGCCTTTAGTAGTGAAACTCTTCTTGCAATGGCCACAGCTGTATGGCTTCTCTCCACTGTGGATGCGTTGATGGCATTTCAGATTGCCTTTAGTAGTGAAACTCTTCTTGCAATGGCCACAGCTGTATGGCCTCTCTCCACTGTGGATGCGTTGATGGCATTTCAGATTGCCTTTAGTAATGAAACTCTTCTTGCAATGGCCACAGCTGTTTGGCCTCTCTCCATTGTGGATGCGTTGATGGTTTGTCAGAGTGCTTTTTCTTGTGAATTTTTTCTCGCAATGGCCACAGCTGTATGGCCTCTCTCCATTGTGGATGCGTTGATGGCATGTCAGACTGCTTTTAGTAGTGAAACTCTTCTTGCAATGGCCACACCTGTATGGCTTCTCTCCACTGTGGATGCGTTGATGGTTTGTCAGAGTGCTTTTTCTTGTGAATTTTTTCTCGCAATAACCACAGCTGTATGGCCTCTCTCCATTGTGGATGCGTTGATGGCATGTCAGACTGCTTTTAGTAGTGAAACTCTTCTTGCAATGGCCACAGCTGTATGGCTTCTCTACACTGTGGATGCGTTGATGGCGTGTCAGACTGCCTTTTGTAGTGAAACTCTTCTTGCAGTGGCCACAGCTGTGTGGCTTCTCTACACTGTGGATGCGTTTATGGACTATCAAATGTGTTTTCTGAAGAAAATTATTCCCACATCTGTCACAGATATAAGTCTTTCCAGTTTTGGTAACCTGATGAAGAAAAGTTGAAAGCCTCCCAAATTGCAGTCTGCCCTCAACAGAATGGGATGGCTCATCACTTTTTCTGTCATCAGCTCTGCTCGTAAGCTCAGCATTGGTTTCTTTTCTATTGGTGCCACTATGATTCTGTGGAGCCAAATGAGGAGAAACAGTAAGTGAAATTTAGTAAAATATTTCATCATAATTGTACAAGACAGAATGAAAGATTTGCCATAATATCTTGTCGGTGTGGGAGATAAAGCTTTTTCAATACACCTAACCTTGTTTTGATTTGGGGTGATTTAGAATTTAGTCCAGATTTTATAACTTTAAATATACTTGACATGAACCAATATTGTGCAGATTTACAATCATAAAGCACAATATGAATATCACTCGATAAATTAGAATATTAATAAAATATGTATGTATTTCACCAATTCAATGCCCAACTAAAACTCATTATATAGCATATTTACACACAAATTGAAGTTTTTATTTCTGTCAACAAAGACTTTTTGACTACAGCCAATGAAAACATGACATTTAAAATTAGAACATTACACCAGACCAATAAAAGTCAATCTCAATGCAGAAATGTAGGGAAGTAAATATGTGCCATCAAGATTTTAATTTTAAAAAAATGTCTCTGAAATTTAAATGTTGTGTATCAGTGTTTACTTTTTCAGTGTTAAAATAAATTCAGACTATATTTTTAACCTAAAAAAAAAAATATGTGTCATTATTTGTCCATGGTTAAAAATTTCATTTGTTAAAAAAAAATAAATCACATTCCTATTTCAAAGTGATCAAATTCTCAATGTACATAATTTTTTTCAGTTAAATTTCTCAGTGTTAAAAAATTCAGCATATAAAAAAGTTCAACTTTTCAAAATTCAAATGCAATATTTTCAGTGTCCTTGCTCAAAATCGCTGTGAAAATGGCGAGGTTACTTCAGGTCACAGACATCAGCAATGAATGTCAGGTTCCAACTCCCAGCCAATCACAGGACGCAACCGTCATATTGAAGAAATACCAGCATCACCGAGGCTGACGACCATGGCGGCGAAGGCTAACCCAACGGTTAGCTTTCATATTTCTGTAGTACATTTTATTTTGCTCCTGAAGTTTGATACATTATCTTAAAGCTCGATTTATAACATGGGTTTGGTCCGTTGTTAATCTTACACCATGTAGTGCCGGCATGTTACTCCCTCCTTGCACCCTCAGGCCCCTCCCTGCTGTCCCACACCCAATTTCCCCCGTTTTATTCAAAAAAGAAATACCGCTTGAATCTTTAAAGAGAACTGATGGGTGGCGACTTTCTGGGTTGTTTGTATGTTGTCTTCGGTGAGACTAAGACAGGCAGTTTTAGCGAAGTCCTAATTTTTCAGGAGATGCTACCGCTAGTGTAGGAAGCTAATATAGCTGCCTTGTTAACCCCATTCTGTTCAGCTACTTTTCATGTGATTTCATTTATGAATGAATTAATAAATTTCTGGTCATTATAACATCATTCAAAAATACTATTTCTCTTATCTGACAGGTCTTGAAATACAATATTAATTTACATTCTTTTGACTTTGCGGTGCAAAATGTTGTTCTGTTACCTAGTAACACTATAAACAACCCCCTTTGCTCTTTTCAAATATGAAAGCATTAAACTCACCGTTGGGTTTGCGTTCGCCGCCATGGTCGCCAGCCTCGGTGATGCTGGTATTCCTTCAATATGACGGTTGCGTCCTGTGATTGGCTGGGAGTTGGAATCTGACATTCATTGCTAATGTCGGTGACCTGAAGTAACCTCGCCATTTTTACAGTGAATTTGAGACAGCGAATTTGAGACAGCGAATTTGAGCAAGTTGAACTTTTTTTATACGCTGAATTTTTTAACACTGAAAAAATACATTTTTTATTCAAATCCTGGGGCATGCACATTTTTAAACTATAGAGACAAGCTTTGGCTCTCCACTGAGTTGATGTCTGTAGAATCAACTCTCTTAAACTTAAACTACCAGTTTACGTCAGTGTGAACTCAAGTCCAACCGAATCAAAAGAACTCACCTCTGGTAAATTCGTCACTGAGTCACTCTTGTGGCTCTTGACATCCTCTTCAGTGTTTTCCATTTGTGATCCAGCTCTGGTTGAAGCACAACAAAGCAACAAAATCAGAGACAGGAAGAATAGAATATGCTGCCAAAAAATGTAGAAACAGACTTGTTTTCTTTTGAAAAGTAAGCATATTTTATTTCCAGTCTGGCCGAAAAAGTCACACACAAAAAAAAGTTGATTCAAAAACAGATAAAGTGAAATTTACTACAGGCCTTGTGGTAAATTTCAGTGCGATTAGTCATATTTAATCAACTTTGGTTTTAACTGCAATTGTACAGCTACATGACTATTAATATTTTTTCGGCATGAAAACATCAAACACAAATCTATCCCCAGAAAACAAACTTACTATTCAGCAGAAACGGTGCGTTGTCCAATACGTTCTTGCATGTTTGTTGTTTGTTTTGATATGATCCGTGCGACTGGTGCTTTTGGTTTCCAAGGCAACCGGTGGCAAGTGCAATTTGAAAGACTCAAATTAGAAAAGTCTTTTGGATACAAAAATGGAATCGGAATCGCCTTCATGCAATTTTTTGTCCACAAACAAGCAATTTGACCACAGCTCAACTTTGCTCCAAACTTTAAATCTAAATAAAAGAAAGAATAAAAACTAAATTATTTTGTAAATATGTGCAACTACAATGTTTTTACAGTGCATAATCAAATTCAGTTCAAAAATAATTTATTAATGCCAATGAAAAATAAAATTTTGTAACTCATTTATTCAAATTCTTCAAAGAGTTGCTGTAGATTGTGATGCAGGAAACATTTCCTGTAGATGTCTGTATTACAGTGAATTTGAAGAAGCCTCTAACTGAAGACACAAAGTAACACTCGAGGTATGTTTTTAATGAGGGAATAATATCATTACAGGATGTATAGCTCCTAAAAGCAAATTTTGCTTTATACCATCTCTCCCTCCCACACTGAGCTCCTTCAGACTAGCAGCAGCAACAAGTACCTAACAGTCAGATGAAACTGCATGTCTGCAGAGCTCATCAGATAAACCCAGTCCAGTGTTTCTTAAGATCACTCCCAAAGGTGCGTTCTTAAGAAACACATTTGAGACGCATTGAAAACACCTCCGACACTTCAAATTCGGCACCATCATCCATTTTTACACTGAATTTTCACTAAAATGATGGACCTCAGCTCTGTCCAAGGCTCAGCTTTGTTTGTAATCAGTGAAAATTAAGTCTGACAAAAAGCAATTTTTGCATTTTTATCTTGACAGCCACACAAAACAAAGTACCTTACCCAGATTTGAAGGAGAGCTGGTGATTGGGCCTTGGCTCCTGGTACACAGGCAGATTCAGCCCGGAAACACAACAGGAAGTCCACTGGATGCGGTACCACCAGCAGGAAGGAATGTTCTGTTTGGCACGTGAGGTTAAGGGTCTCAACATGCCACTTCCCAGGGTCAAAATCTATCTCTGGGAAGTACTAACCTTTACATTTGTATTTTTTTGCACTATTCAGGCTTTTACAAAACCTGATTCTGTTTTAAAAATCTACAATTTACAACAGCTGATAATGTCTCTTTATTTACCTCAAGAACTCTACTATAAACCCAACTTACTGGAAAAGGTATGTGAACCCCTGGCCCAGAGAATTATAACGAATATCAAAAACAAGAGCTTAAATGTTTGTCAAAATGATAAACTTCATCATGAGCAGATCATGTCAGTCTCATAGCAACAGAATAATTTTAAAAAGTGGAGAATCTCACATGGCGTTTAATGCAAAATTCTATTTTAGTTTTGTAATCGAACATCAAAAACTGGGTCTTTTATGTTCTTCCTGATGCACGACATTTGGTTTATAGAGAGAGCGAGATGGAGACACTTTGATGGAGCAGAAAGGAAGAGTGAAAATGTGTGTGTAGTTTGAGTTTCAGCTTTTTTTCTACCCATGTAAGCAATTCGAAAGGGACACTTTAAATAAGAAATCCCCTCGATGGACAAATGGACAAATCAGGACGTGAAGACATTCATCTGTCTCTGTTGCACTGCACTAAGTCAGGCTTGTGTGAAATAGAAAACATTCACATGCACTCATATTAACCTATCAGGCTTGTCTGAGTGATTCAACAGCCTGGTATGAAATGAGCTGACTGTCGACAGAGGAGGAAAGGACACCAAGTGAGAAATACCTCAGGCCTCATCTCACCTTGACTCATCCTGATTAACTCCTTGTTTTTTATTGCTCTGCATTGAAGACAGGCATAAGCCATAACCAATCAGCGTAGCGAGGTAAAGTTACTGCCGGTGAAAATTAGAGACCTTCACCAGTACAGCTGTGGCGTACTGGTGGTAATGCTGTTGCCCCTCAGGCTTCCCATGTTGTGAACGGTGGGAAGAATGAGCTGTGGTCAGACATCCATCTGCTCGGCTTGGTCTCATTTCCAGATGCACTCAGTTTTGCATCACCTGCCCGCTGGCTATCATCCTGACTACACGACCGCAGTGAGTGATGCCGAAAGGCAGCAGATGGGAAGTGGAAGTTGTTAACGTCCAACCGCACAACTCTGGAGGCACACATCCTCTGTCTCAGTCGTGACCCCCCGTCGTGAGAGCGAGGGAACCTCGAGGCGTAAAGTCGTGGCTTCATTAGAGGAGAAGCTCGCTCTCATTAAAAAGTCACTTTGTGTTTCAAGGGCTTTGCATGGGCACAAACATCACAGCAGATTCATTATAACATGGCGTCTTGATGCAGACAATGCACAGTGTGACATCCCCCCCTCCCCACCCGCATTTCTTACATCCAGCCGTCACTCAAAAGCTTTTCAGAAGCATCTTAGATTTAGGGACAACAAACCCTTTTAGGAATAGGGTCAAACATCAGGGTCAGTTTTTCATGAATGGTCTAAAATTCCTTTTATGTTCAAACAAACACTAAATTAAAGCTTGGAAGCACATTCAAATAAACCACTACTGACTCAAATCTTATCATATGTCGATGTTTCGAGTTAATTAAAGCGATAACTAAGTGACACTTGAATATCTTATAATAAAGACCTTCCATCTGCAGAGCAACAATAAAACTCAGCTATATTTTCTCAGTCAGGGGAAGAGCTGCAGAGAGCCCTGTAAAAATTAGACTCCAGCTGTAAATAAAATGGGCTGAAAAGCCTCAGTTGTGCTCAATAATACATTTGACAGCATCTCAGCACGTCTGTCATTACGCTGTTATGTCAAGCAGAGTTTTTATGAGGAGTTATTGTAACGGTGAGATGTTTTAATGAGCTGTGAAATTTTTTTCTCAACAGGAAAAAAAAAACCCTAGCCTTTGTCTGGGAAAAAAAAAAACCCCGTTAAACATCAATAAGGCGTTGCGTTTGTCTTTTTGTCATCACATTTTCCCCTTCATTTCTTCCAATAAAGATTTACACTGTAATAACAGCACGGTGCTGTTAGGCTTAATTGGGAAAACCACATGCCTAAGTCAAAAGATAAGTATAATTTCCTGCAATTACAGCAGCAGCTTACAATAAAGTATCACCCTGTTCTGGTGGCTGCGGTAAAAAAAAGAACACTCCAGCTTTCAACATATTAATGTCAGTTATTGATATGACGATTAAGTTCAAAAGGTTTGAAATCTGAGGCAGATGTAAGCTGAAAATCAGCTTGCAGAGTCCATGGCTGCAGCTTTTTGCAAAAGGTTGTTAAGCATTAAACTCAGCGCACATGAAAAGAGAAGACAGATGTAATGAAGTTTAAATGCACTCATTATGCACATCAAAGACTTAGTTTTTGAATTCGGAAGAATAATGCAACAATCAACTTCAATCACTTCTCACAACTACAATTTAACTGACGTTAATGTAAATTTTGCTTACACAGATTGAATTATTTATATACATCCCAACTACATTTTGGTTACAGAGGAATCAAAAGCCTTTCGTAGACATGAAAAAATCTGAGTGAATATTAGACAACTTGTGTTTTTAGAATCAGATTTGGTACAATTAACTTGAATGAATTGGATTCTTGGCAAAGTTGACCCTCAGTATGATGCTGCCACCACCATGCTCAGCCGTTGTTGACGTAATCTGATGTTATAAAACGTTACTTTGACTCCTTCAAACTCTGATGAATTGAAGTTGTTTGAACACCTGTCCAGGGTGAACCCCGCCTCTCGCCCGGAACGCAGCTGGAGATTGGCACCAGCAACTCCCGACCCCATTAGGGAGAAAGGTGATCAGAAAATGGATGGATGGATGTTTGTTTTCTGGTCCAAACTACAAGTTGAAATATGAATTTTCCCTATGGTAAACACAACCCAAACAAGCAAATAAGATAGCATAAATAATGACACAGAACCCACTAAGGATATTTTAATTGGGTTTATTTCACTTTGCATTCCAAAATATTGGAGCTTTGGCAGCAGATTGAAAGCAATCGCATTAAGTTGTACCTTTAGATGACTGTGAGCAAAATGTACAGCTCACTTCTTACACAGGTTCAATCTTAGATTTGAAAATTCACACCAGGTCACTGTTTAATTTATAATTTAAGGCAACTAATGATGCACTTTGGATTGACACCATGAAAAACCAACTGCAAATGAAGAACACCATTAGATTTAAGACACTGAATTGTGATACAGGCATAAATGAAAAAGTACTCATCAAAACCATATACTACAAGGAATTATTTTCAGTTCATGCTTTTGTGAATCCAACATCTGCTCAGTCATCACCTTTTAAAGGGGCAACAGGGTTAAACAGTGGTCTCTCTCTACGCAGCTGCAGTTTCCCAAAGTTCATCTCAAAGTCTTTCTTGGTACCGTTTATCACGTCCAGACTCCCGGTGCTAACGTCGTAGCCACGGCTCTTCAGGCGGTGGATACGGTAATTTACGATCTGCGTGGTTAGCTCCAGGACGGTTGGAGTCTGTATGATTTGAGACATGCTGATCCCAGCGCTGAGGAGGCCCTCAAAGCGCTCTGCCAGAGTGGATTCTGGATGGTAAAGCAGAGCCGGACACTTGAGGATAATCTCCCTCAGCTCCGCGTCAGAGCAGCCGATGGTTTCCTGGGAGAAAGCCAGGGTCTGACACATGCTGTCCGGATTCAGATCGGTGACGAAGCCCCGCAGTTTGGAGAGGAGACGGAGGAGTTCGCTGGTGGTGAACCCTCTGTCTTTGAGGAACAGCAGATTCTGCCTCAGCACCTCCGGTGGCTTCAGCAGAACAAACGGGTTCTGGCTCAGCAGCTTCTGCAGCCATATTCTCATGTTGGCGTCATCGCCACCCAGCTCCGTGTAGGCCTGTTGGAGGGTGCAGACCATCAGCTGGTTCTGCTCAACAGGCCTGCTGAAGCTCTGTGGAGCGCTGGCCATGAGTTTGGTAATGATCCTCTTGTTAAGGTTCAGGCTCTGGAAGTAAGCAATGTTTTTCCACTGGTTTTCTAGGTGACTAGATGCAGAGAAGAAGGAGGCTGGGAATTTCTCAATGATA